CTGAGACTGCCAGAAAGGTCTTCTGGGGTATCCTGCCTATTCGGGTCGCATTAGGGTTACACTAGGGTCCTTCTGCGAAGCAGGAGCCGTTAGGTCTCAGGTAACAGTTCTTCATAAGGAAGACCGTCAGAGGGGGTTGAGGTTACAGGTGTTTCCGATACCTTCATCATCTCCAGGATTTCTCGGTTCCACTGTCGGGTACAGTCAAAAAGACTTGTAGTCCGGGATAGAGATTTGACTAGCTTTTGATTCAAGGCGGGTGGGATGTCACCATGCTTCCATTCCTTGATCATAGCTTCTCTTATCCGAGATGTGAGGATTTCATCCCAAACGCTATTGTAATGGCTAGGCAGTATGAGGGGAGGGACGATCTGCTCCTTTCGTCGCCCGACGAGAATGGATGATCGATCTCCCCAGGTCACCTGCTTAAACCATTTTGATAGGACATAGGGGGGATAACCTCGTGCGCGTAGGTGGTGCCAGAAGGAGCGCTTGGCCTTAGCGAAGCCTTCTTCATACGTTGACGCAGCGAGGAAGCGTAGGAGTTCGGCTTTGATGAATCCTTTCAACACTGGTTTAGGGTGTGCCGAGCTCCAAGGGATGTACTGAAAGTGATTCAACTTCTTTTCGTAGAGTTCCGTAAAGATCCGTCTGTTCAAGCAGAAGACTTCAAGATCCAAGAACGAGACTGAAGTGAATGAACTTTCCCATTCGACTTCAAGGCCGGGTGCCGAGACGCGTGCTTTGAGTCGGGATGGTATGCGACCATGATTGTTCTTGAGGATAACAAGAATGTCGTCTATGTACCGGAAGTAGGCAACTTCACCGGTAACATAGCGGCTCTTTCTTTCGTACCAGCCCATGTAGATGTTTGCCAACACAGGTGCGCTTGGGGAACCCATGGCGAGCCCGTCACTCTGCCAGAATTCCTCCCCTTGGTACCGAAAGAAACAATTATGGTTCGTGAACCGAACAGCTTCGATGATGAACTGTTGTAGGTCTTTGGTACACAGTCCGGGGAACTCCTGAAAGATTTCTTGGAGTACTTGGAGGATTCCAGCTCTAGGGACGTTTGTGTACATTGACTTAACGTCTCCTTTGAGGAGGAGAACGTTATCCATCATTTGTTCCTTGAACTTGTGGAGTCGAAGAACGACTTCCCTGGAGGATTCGCAGATCCAAGGGAACAAAGGCTTCATGATAGGGTGAAGTAGATGGTCGACGACTTTAGCAACATGAGCGGAAATCCATGCATGACTAGGTACAATCGGTCGGATCTTCCATGGGTTCTTATGGATTTTAGGAATTCCATAGAACTCTGGTACCGATAGTCCGTTTGGGGAAGCCATGATGAACTTCTGCATTTGATTGGGCAGCATGCTGTAGTCGAGATTGTTGAAACTTCGGTAGATCGCTGTGGTATCGATAGTCGTCTTGACGTATGGTCCTTCGGCGAGGTGGCCACGTATCAGATCGTTATACCATTCAGCGGTGACCACGGCAATCCCAAGATTCTTGTCAGTTATGAGGGTCAGGAGATTTGCATCTAACAACTCATGGTGGAATCGCTGGTAACCCATTCTGGGCTTAGATCGAGAGTTTAGAGGGGAT